ATGATGGACTGTTATTTTGCAAATAAACGATTTACGATATGGTTTTCCTATTTTACTGAGTAACCCTGTAATTTTTGTTGAATACAATTCGGTTTCCCCACCTGTGTTCTCGTTCACAACACTATGCTCTAATGGGGGTAACAGGTGCAAGTAAGTAACTAAGTAATTATACATCGTCATCCATTTTGACTGTCTGACTTCCAAAACCCAACTGGAACTTCAATAATCTATCTCAAATTCGGTCGCCAAATTAGTAATGATTTGGATAGAATGTGTTCTTAATTCCTGACTCGGTCAAGTATGTAGACCATTGAAGATTCCTAAATAAGGACGAAACAACAGCAAGTTTTATCGATTTTTTTAACCAACCTCTATGCGTAACGCACATCATCTAGAAAATGCTGCGTAAAGCATAATATTTCTTCAATCTATTCGCCCTTACTAAATGTTTTCTTATCTCATTAGGAATACCAAATAAATTCGACAACAGATATTAAGTAAAGTTATAAAATACTACTGATTACGAAAAATAGTAGTAATAATACTAAACAATAGAAATAATGTAGAAGCGAAAAACTCACATTTTTTGATAGATTAAATTGTTGAATATTGTAAATTATTTTTTGACAGTAAACGTGTAAAAAAATAGAAAATGATTTATAATTCAATTTGAATGGATTATAAGTTGACATAATGAAAAAAATATGATAGATAATAAGTTTATGTAGTGTGCAATGCTTGAGATTGGATGCATGCATCAGACTAATTTACATTTTTTTTTGAGATTATTATCATTACTACTATTATTATTAATAGTAGTAGTATTAGTTGCGTGTAAAAATAATTCTATTCACTCATCGTTGATTAAAATATCAGTTGAACGAAAATAAATAACACGATAAGATTTGAAATTCATAATTCTCATTTGTAATTTATTTTAAAAATAAAAAAAACTATAGAATAAATTTATTCTTTATCATGATTTGATATAACACATGAAAAGTTTGAATAAAATACTGACATTTATCTGTCAGTTAGTTAATGAACAGACTGAGAAAATATTTTTGATTACTGTTTTAAGACTGAGTAATAAATCACAAACTAGTTAGTCCTATTATTTATTAATAAATCATTCAGTAAGTGATACTGATTGTAATGAGCTCAAAAACAATAGGTATGATTAGTTTATTTAAGATTACAGAAAACTCTTAGTAATCGGTTCAAAACTAGTAAGAGACACAGGTCAACCATTTGATTTTAAATAATTTGCTTACTTACTTACTTACTTACTTACTTACTTACTTATGCACTTATGCACTTACTTACTTACTTACTTACTTACTTAATTACTTACTTACTTACTTACTTATGCACTTACTTACTTACTTACTTACTTAATTACTTACTTACTTACTTACTTATGCACTTACTTATGCACTTACTTATGCACTTACTTACTTACTTACTTATACACTTACTTACTTACTTATGCACTTACTTACTTACTTACTTACTTACTTCCCCACTTACTTACTTACTTACTTCCCCACTCACTTATTTACCTACTTACTTACTTACTTACTTATGCACTTACTTACTTACTTACTTACTTATGCACTTACTTACTTACTTATGCACTTACTTACTTAATTACTTACTTATGCACTTATGCACTTACTTACTTACTAGGGCCCGTTACCGCTAATGGAGTGTAAGATTCTGGCTAGCGTTAGCGTTTTTTTTAGTTTCTCTAGTAAGTTGGATTTCTACGGGATGTGGTCACTAACCTCATGCCCCACCCTACTCCTTTGTCTGGGGTTAGGACTAGGAGTGTCCTCAGAAGTGCTTCAGGTACAGTTACAAATATTTTGCTTAGTTTAGTGATTACATTACAATTGCATTTATAGAATTCAGTCAGTAGTAAGTACCAGAGAAATATAATACTTTTACTTATTCAAAGGAAGAATAACTGTATTAAGTATTTCTTATTAGTATAGTACAATGAACTGAGATATTAGCTATGCATCGCTAAGGAAGAAGCTTAACTAACAAATATGTTTTGAGTCGAAGTAAAACTCATTTTGTGACGAAAATTCATCTGTCTTTCTGGAGTTCTGATTTGATATTTTGGGAAATAGGAATTCGTATGTCTGCTTCACAAAACCAGCCCTCATTTAGAATTCCCAAGGTCATAAGAAAAGAGAAAGACCGAAGAATATCTTACGCCGAGAAACGGTGACAGACATGAAAGGAATGAACAGCAATCGGATAGAACTGGAAAAGAAATCTCAGGACAGAGTAAAAGTCGGAGAAGGTTGGTCGGCGACCTATGGTCCAGTTGGGTAACAGGCGTAAGTCAGTAAATACGTAACAAATCTTTTGTTACACAGAAAATTATTCAGTAGCTTTGTTACTGAGAAAGTTATTAAAAAGAGCACTAGAATTTCTTTGGAACCTACTTAGATACAGAATGAAATATAGATAAGTTCAATTGACGAGCTCTAAATAAGACAAAACAGGTGTAGTGTTTGGATAAATTTGTGGAATCCACATGGCTTGTCACAACCTTTCAACAGCTAATTAATCCATTCATCTTGAATTATACACTTGTATTTTAACCTTGTCAATTATTCACTTATATCTTGGTTTTTATTATTTGAGTGCATATATTCATACTTACTTTGCATGTTACATATCAAGCTCATTTTGTCTGACCATTAATATTCAGTCATGCTTCATCTCATAGACTTAACTCATTCACCTTTTCCACTTGGCTTTCACTTTGATTGTACACTTTTCGTTCTTTAGTCTGTCTGCGTGAAAAAAAAAATCGCCTGAAAATAAATTTTGTAAAATCGAATTCCTGTTCGGCTTCTTACTACTGCCATCTTACAAACGGTGTTAGTTATTTTCATAACTAATTGTAGTTATGTCATAACTAACCAATCAAATTGTGGTTTAAGCGCCCACCACGTGATCTGATCTGACGTGTCTGTAAACTTTCTTTGTTGTAAATGACCTACTAATTGAAGGACATTATTATCTTATTATATTGATGTGACTCATAACTTTACT